CCGCCGGCACGGCGGCTGCGGACAATAGGGGCGCAGGGATGTCATGGGCGCCTCGCAACTTTGGCGGGTCCGAGGAGGGCGGCATCACTAGCTGCAGCACTAGCACCAGCAGCGGCAGCGAGTTTGCGCCTGAACTGTGGCTGCACGACGCGCGGGCGGTCTGGCCCGCGGGCCCGCCGCGCGGCGCGGCAGCCGAATGCGACCGCGAGGGTGACAGCGAGGAAGGCGGCACGGCCCCCGATGACGGCAGCGCGGCTGAAGGCGCGACGGGCGGCGCGCTGAGCCCGATGCCGGTCTCAGCAACGCCGCGGCTGCCCCATGTGCCTGAGGGTCGTGAGGCGGCGCCGCCGGCCGCCGAGGAGTTTTTCAACACTCGGACGGCACTGGGCGGCGCGACCGTGCGCGGCGGCCCAGGCAGCAGCGCGGGCAGCTGGCCGGGGATGGCTGGGGTGTCGGCGGTGGCGAGCCCCACGGCCGCGAGAGCGCAACCGGCCGCGGCGCCAGCGGGCGGGCCGCGGGCACACCAGCGGCCGGCCGCGCGGGGTGTCAGCGGCGCACGGGGCGGGCCTGTGCAGCTGTCGACGTCGCTCGAGTCTGCCGCCACCCTCGGGCTCGGGCGGCGTCCGGAGTCTGGCGATAGCAGCCAGCGCGGCGACGCTGCGCGCGGCACGGCTGTGCGAGCGGAGCGCGCAGGGCCCGGCAGCAGGGCAGGCAGCAGGCCTGGCAGCGCAGCCGGCAGCAAGGATTACGCCCACGGTGCGAGATCCTCTGCCAGATCGTCAGCGTCAGAATTTATCAACTCTGATATCACTAGGCGCAAGCCGTCATTGCCCACGCAAAGCGCGCCGGCGGCGCCCGCCAAGACAAGCAGCAGCGGAGGTGGCCGCAGCACGGCGGCGACGCCGCAGCAGGGCAGCGCTGGGATGAGTCGGGGGAGCGACGTCCGCAACGGCTCCGCCCCTTTGAGCGCGGCAACCCTGGGAGGCAGCAAAGAGGTCGTGGGGGTCGTGTCTGTGCCAGCACAGCAGCGCGCGCCCTGGGGGCCATCACCGCTGCCACGGCAGCAGCAGCAGCAGCAGCAGCAGCAGCAGCAGCAGCAGCACATAATGCAACAGCAGCAGCAGCAGCAGCAGTCGCGGCCTGGGCAGCACCATCACAACAACCTCCCGCCGCCATCGCCATCGCCGCGGCACGGACCGCAGCACCAGCTGCCTCCGCCGTCGCCCCGGCAGCCGCCTTCGTCCCAGCAGGTCCTGGGGCCCATGGCAGCTGCCGCCGCGGCGCGCAGACGCAGCTCCGGCACAGGCACGCCGCTGGGCACCCCGCGCTCCCCCCTCCAGCCCGCCAGCTCCGCCGGCTGCCGCGCGCCGCCGCCGCGGCCCGCCGCCGGCGAGCGGCCGTCGACGGCGGCCGCTGCAGGCGCGTCGGCGCACTCCGCGCCTTGGTACAGCCCGCGGCCCGCGCTGTCCCGTGCAGAATCCTGCATGAGCGACGCCGCCCTGTATAAGAGCGACGCGACGTTCGCGAGCACGGCGGCCGCCGACCTGCCCCTTACGCTGCCCGCCGCGCCCGCCGCGCCGCGCGCGCGCCCGGCAAACGTGCCGCTGCTGCCGCTATCTGCGCTCGCGCGCGCGCAGGCCGCGGAGGCGGAGGCGCGCGGCGCGACGCTGCAGCAGCTGCGGCTCGCGGCGGGGCCTGCGCCGGCGCCGCAGCCCGCGGGCGTCCCCGTATCGCGCGCGGCGACGCCGCCGCCGGCCCCGCGGCACAGCCGGGACGTGATGCCGCTGCTGAGTCAGCCGGTGGGCTCGGACCGCGGCGGCCCCCGGCGCTGCACGCCGCCGCCGGGCGCGTGGGGACCGGGGGCACCGTTTGTGGGGGCAGCGCCAGCCGGCGACGCCCGCAGCCGCATGCACAGCCCCGCGCCTAGCCTCAGGAGGGCCGTCGGCGCAGCGGGCGGCGCGACGCCGCGGCCGGCGGACAGTGCAGGACCGGACGCGGGCGCAGGCGGCGCGCCGCAGCTGTCGGCGCGCGCCGGGCAGCAACATCAGCAGGGGAGCGGCGCGGAGGATGCCGCCTTGTGGCTGCGGCCAGGCACCGCGCAGTCACAGGCAGAGGTGCGCATCAGGGAATGTCCCAGTGCTTTGGTGTTTGCGGCGCTCTTCTTCGTTTTCTTCTTCTCTAGAATTTCCGTTCGCCCTGTGCTTGGCCAGGGTCAGGATTCAGCGCGATACGCGTTCAATTCACAACTGCTCCATTTCCATCCATCGCACCCGCCAGCAGCCCACTCGCGCCCAACCAACCGCCACGCCCCCCTCCCTCCCACACCCCGTGCCTGCCGCCGCAGACCCACCCCGACGGCGCCGCGACGCCCCGCCTGGCCACGCCGCGCGCCGGATCGTTCCTGACCAAGCGGCCCGCCCACATGTACGCGTCCCACAGCACTGCCTACGCTATGTACTCCCCACTGCGCAACGCCCTGCGCCCCATGCCAGGCAGCGACAGGGCCAGCCCGGCGCCCTCCACCCATGGCG